ATGTCACAAGTGTGGACAGCTTCTGAAGACCTAAAACTGCTAAAAATCCTACTGAAAATTTAGTACCGTAGAGCATTTAAATGTAGCTCAATTCGCTCTTGTATTCTTATGTGGAAAATCTGCCAAATGGTTCGAGAAAGATCAACAGCAAACACCACTTATTGTATAAGCCTTCTTGCATCCGCTTTTTTTAAAAAAAAAAATTGGAAATTGAGGGAATGCTCTCGAAGATCGAGAAGCCTTCGGCCGATACTTTTAAAAAAGTAGATTGAAAAATGAGGAAAGCCGAAAAATATAATGATAAAAATAACAAAGATAACAATATTAGTTTCAATAATTTGTGAATCAGCTTGGAAAATCTTTTTGTTAATGCTGAAGGCATTTAATCCAAATATTTAGTTTTCTAGAATTTCGCAGGACGAATACTTGATTGTAGAATCACCGGAAATTTCGCAATAGGTATTTCAATAGAGGGGAAAAAACACAAAATATTTCATGTATTTTAATAAAAGAGAAGAAAACATTATTTACAGTTTTAAATGTTGGATTATCCATTTAAGGAAAACATAATAAGCACAACGAATAAAATGGATTATCTTCAATTATCAAGAATTCCAAAGACGATTTTATTGTCTACTCAAATATAGCAATATCTGTCAGTTTTCTAATTTTAGAAAAACTTTAAATTGCCAGTAGCCAAATACAGATTGTAGCCAAATACAGATTGTAGCCAAATACAGATTGTAGCAATTGTATTCCAAGTTTGAACATTTTATAAGAGAAAAATAATGTTTTCGTTCCAATTGAGAGTCACTCAAACAACTTTTAACAGTCAAATCAATATCTTGTTAAGAAATGTAATACGGATCAGCTATCAATAGAGCAAGTTTTCAGGTAGAAATACCATAGGTAGGTAGGTAGGTATGAACAATTGTATTAATAATCTTGCTTTCTGAACAAAATGAAATGACCGAGAAAATGTTGGCGTTGCCTCCTTTATTGTCAATGAAAAACTTAAACTAAAAAATAAGGAATAAAATTTTATTTATTATCATTATTATTATTATTATTATTAACTAAGCTCATCAAAGTACCAATAACGTACTCGATAGAGAGGAATTACAGTAGGCAGATTATGTTACGCTAATCTTCAAAGCAAAGATATGCCTGTCAGCTTCTAAAACTCAGTGTTCGTTATCTTGTTTATTACCTGGGCTCGAACACCGAGCTTATGATGTTGCCATTCAATTCTATCAATTTTATTATTATTAAAATATTATGAAGAAGACGACATTTAATAGCTTCTGCGACTCAGATGTTTCGGCTGGGTGATAATGTCAATATCACAGTTCTTACCCTCGGATTAGGAGCACGGTCCTTTCCCCAGCTAGCATCGCTACCACCTCATGTCAGCTAGCCCCAATACGATTACTTATTTTGAAATCCGTGTTAACGCTTGTTTGGTCTTTTTTTGTTGTTGTGGACTTTTTTTTTTTTGTGTGTGTGTGTGTAGTTGCTGTGAATTTGTTAAATGGCGGAGCGCAACGAAAGAAAACGTAATCGGTTGTCGTTCAAACATAAAAGTAAAAATGAACAGAATTAATAATTATTATTATTGTTATTATTATTGACAAAATAGCATTGCTTTTCTAACTGCAGTAAACTATTTTTATTTAATTATACTATCTTTAGAAAGCTGTCTTTTTTTTTTCTTTATAATTTATTGGGTAGGTATTTATTCTGAAGGCCAGATATCAGCAAAGCCGCCCAACATTTATTTGGTGACCCAAACATTTTTAAATAGAAAGAAATCTTTATCTAGTCTTATTGACGTGAAATTCAAAATATTGCTTGTCACGTGAGGATCGAATTCAGTATGTTACTAATGTCACTTGACAAGCAATATTTTGAAGAAAAATAATGTGCATTGAAATGTCGTAAAAACTTGAATGTCATTTAACTTCCTGTCGCCTTTTTTTTTCATCTTTGCTTATCCGTCATCAGGGCTTGTGACTTAAACTAAGCATAGTTGATTCGGAACTTTTCAAATGATACTACAATATCGTGCTTTCACAATATAAAACAAAATGAAAACAGAAAAAAGGTGATCTTTTTTAAAAAGAATTTTGCATTTTCGCTGTCTTTAGCCGTTAAAAAAAATCACTTATCTTTCAAACATGCTAAATAATTGTTGCAAGTATAGAAAAAGTACAAACAATGCAGTCTATTGGTAGTTTTTCTTTCTTTCTTTTTTTATCTTTTGGAATGGTTTCTCCGGACTTTTCAAAACAAAACCCAGATGCATTATTTTTTTCGCGGTTAGTCTTGAAAATGAATTTTTTCTAAATTCTTTTTTTTAATTTCATAAAACGTACAGAAGTTAAGCCGTGGGCAGGTTCAGTGCGTCTCATGAGTCAAGCGAAACAAAATTAATTGATAACAATCATCATTGGTTTAAAAGTATATAAATAAATAAAAGTGTTCAAGTTGACGAATTCTAATTAAAGTTACATTTCGCTTCTTGTTAAAAGAGTTCCGTATTCCAGACAATTTTTTTTCTCATTTAGTTGTTTCTTTTTATTGCAACTGAAGTCTTTGACGTTGTTCCGTTGCTATCTAATTGATTTTCCTTGGACTTTTTCTTGTCGGCGAACCAAGAACTGACGGGTAAGGCATCAATTGAATTCTGAAGAAAAGAATATAAAATTGAAAATTTTCAATATTTCACAGAAGATAAAAAAAAATCTAAAAATATAGCAGAAGAATAGAACAAGGTAAAAAACAAACGGGTAAATATTGGTTTTGTTACCCGTGCGTAGTGATTTTCTGCAAGAAAAGTCTGTAAAAGAAGTAAATAGGCCAAATTTTCTTATTACGCCGGCGTAGGTATCGAGATTTATGATGGCAGTAATGGGGGACGAATGACCAACAAGAAGTCCGATTTTTTCTTGTCGATAACTCCAAAACGGTACGGTTTCTTCATAATTTAATTGTTAATTCAAGTTTAGCATGTGCATTTGCACGGAATTATGACGATTTGGGAAAAATTTTAAGGGATATTAGCGCACGGGTAACAAAACCAATATTTACCAACAAACGCTAAATTACATATAATATTAGTACTTATTTATAACTGGCACCGAAGGCAATGTTGGCTGCTTTTTAGTTTAAACTTAGTAAATGCCCCCAAATGCATATAAAGATTTTGCCATTGGCACATTTAATGTTAGAGGTGTCCTGGGTACGACGATAAACTACATCCGGCAGCAAGGCCACTGATTGGGAGGTTTTGAGGAGTGTGAAACTACCCCTTAATTGCTGTTGTTCTCAGGTCCAGCCCTGACACGGAGTGGTAACACCTGTTAGGGTTCCAGCTATGGGCAAATAGTTAACGCTCAAACTGGGACCAAAACACCGTGAAAGTATAAAAATACATTTTTATAGTAAAATCACCAGAAATAAATTTTTGAATAAAATATTACCAGCAATACATTTTTGAAAAAAAAATATTACCAGAAATAAATATATATTCTATTCATACGAACCTACCCTAAAAATCTTGTCGGCATTAAATAACACATTGAGGTTGATATGCCATAAAACAAAATAAATCAAGCTAATGTTAGAAGACATGGAAAAAGAAAAGCAGAAATTATTGGAAGTTGATTGTTACGGCATTGATGTATGTTGATAAATAAAAATTCTTGACCAAATTGATTCAGTATTTGTAGCACATAATAAGAACTTAATCGGCGTCGTGTTTATAAAAACAAAACAAAACTGAGTTTATGATAGCCGCCATGTTTGTATATATGCCACTCTTGAATAACCGTAAAACCTCTCTTGTCCATTATGATTTGAGCCAATTAAAACTTTGTCGGAGAAGCTAATGACGTCCGGTTGTCAGCTTCTTATTTAAAATTTTGTAAATCTCGCCAATTGCGTATAAAGACTACCATTGAAAAATTTACTGTTAGATGACTCGTGAAAGAAATAAGAGAAGTAAAACAAGAATTATTGGCTCAGGAAATTTATAGTTATATCTTTGATATATGTTGTCTCTAAAGAACCAAAATGACTTGATACCAAAGAAGGACTTAATGTTAATATCGGTATTTGACAGCACAAATTAATAGCTTTGGTAAACAGGTAGTAAATACTATGAAATAGTTTCATTATCAATACCTAATGGGAGAATAACCTCCATTGGCATTGGACGGACAACCATCGAATACATATTGAACAACGACATTAAAAGAATTAACAATAAAATGCCATCATTCCTTGTAAAAAAGGGTTTGAAGAGATTGGAAGACATCTAGCATTTGGGTTAGGGTTAACACAGGACAGGAAGGTGTAAAGAGGACTGATGAGATATTTGCAAAGTTGTTGAAATTGAGAAATCGCACTGATTTGAAGTCGAAACAACTCTCATGAGGATGATTTATATCCTTTTAAATGTGTGTTTTTTTTTTCTTTATAGTTGCTGTGAATTTGTTATTAAACAACTGTCAAAAAGCCGTCACGATATAGCACAACAAAAGACATCAAAAATTGCTGTTCAAACAAAGACGAAATCATGAACGGAGTTGTAATACAGGACAAAAATTAGGCTTACGGCCATAACACATTGAAACACCGGTTCCCGTACAATTACCGAAGTTAAGCAACGTCGGACCTGGTCAATACCTAAATGAGTGACCACTTGAAAATACCAGGTGATGTAATGTTAAATGTACGAATGGTGTAATGGATAACGGTTCAGGTTTGGAAATTGGAGAGCCGAGTTCCAATTTCAGTCTGGTTATATTCACTTACGAGCAAATATCCCTGGGAATAGTATAAATTCAGATCTTTTCTCTTAGCTATGGATTAATTAGTAGAACTTGTATCAGTAAAAATCATTATTATCTAAAAAAATCTTACAATCTAAAAGCATTTTCTGGCTTTAAATAACCCACAAAAAAGCCATAAAATACAAACCAACCAATCAATTATAACAAGACCGATTACGTTAATAATATTATAGTATTAATATGTTAATGGACACATGAACGTTCACATCCTGACCATGAAATGCGGGTTCGAATGTCACCATGGTCGATTTGTCAGGAAGGAAACTTCCTGATGTCATCGGATTGGGGGGACGATCACAGCGTGCCTGAAAAATATACCACGGCTTGACCTAAGTCATGTGAGTGAAATTGGATAGACAGAACCCTTGGGGGCCGTCAATAGCTACGCTAGTACGAAGTCAGAATCATCGTGGGCGAGGGCTTGAGCGTGCTGGTCTTGTTCAAATTGTTGATCACGCTAGATAACACGCTCTCTCCCAGAAACTGTAATTAAGGTCTGATTAGCATAGTTGCAGTATAAACTACAGGTGGGCCCTGTGGGTGTTGAGCAAACACAAATGCGCCTGAGCGAACGTCTGCAATAAGGATTGGTTAGACGGATATCCTCGAATATGAGTGACCAGTTATACATACATAAATCTAGCGAGGAAGAATCTATACAGTCAAAAATGTTTTCAGCCAAATGATAACGAAGTAGAACATACAAGAAAGTTAAAATTTTATTAAAACATTTATTCCATAAAAGGGGAATAAAATGATAAAAGTCTGATAATAAAAAAAGGTCTGCCTTTCGTTTACAATAGAGTTTGTGTCCAAATCTACGTTTCTGAATAAAGAAAAATACTACTTAATGATTGGCTAGAGAGGAGTGCTTCCCGTTAGGATCTTTGACCATCAATATATGAAAGGCAACAGTATCAAAAACGAATAGAGTAAGTCCATTTAATTTGGTGATTCACCATCAAAGAACATTTCTGTATTTCACTGTAACTGCGTGCAAACTAATTAAATTATCATTTCACGGGAAGCCCATTTTTTGATCTTAAATTTTAAATATTGCTAAACTTAGAGTTTAACATCTGTCTATATTTCTGAGATGAGATAGTGTAACTATTTACATTGTTCGGACTGTTGTCCTCATTTTTATTGCCATATTCACGACGTTTCGGTCGTTGTAGGCTCCGGCTTTCTTCAGGATCTATTTCTGTTTCTGAAGTGAGGTATTGTAATTATTTACTCTATTTACAGTGTTCGGACTGTTGTCCTCATCTTTATTGCCATATTTACGGCGTTTCGGCCGTTGTACGCTCCGGCCTTCAGGTGATATACATTGGAATTTCGAACCGAACTCTTTTAGTCCACAAGGATAGATTGTTCTAATTCCACGTGCCATGCCTTTTTGGATATCTCAGTATCAATTAATTCCCCTAAGTAACTCAACTCTCCAAGTTTTTTTCCTTCTGCTGTGGCCAGGTACTGAACTCACAACTCCTTGGGTCAAGACACTTTTTTGGATTATCAGCTAACGCTTTTATCCAGAGTGAACATCGCCACCCTGGAAAGTTGAGTTATTTTGGAACACTAAATTCTAACGTATATCACCTGAAGAAGGTCGGAAAGTATAACGACAAAAGAGTAATGAATATGGCATTAGAGACGAGAAAAACAACCCGAACAATGTAAATAATGTAAATAATTAATATGTAACTTAGTCTTTTTGAGTAATTTCACATCTACTTATCTCTCAGTTGCGTCTCTGTCTTTGGGCAGAGTGCGCTCGGGGGCGATTCCGTCAAAGGACAGAGTCGCAACTGAGGGAAATTATACTGCGAGGTGCCGGCCCTGGGGAACAGTTGCCCGAGGCCGCGCCTTCTCATTGCACTAGAGAGAAGGATCGGTGCGGGGGCTCGGGGAATTTTTGTTCCTTGCCCGGGTGTACGCACTCGGGCACCCCACATTAAACCGACCTTGTGTCACAACCTGACATCGTGGGGGGTGGGGTGAGTAAATACTTAGATTTTGGTTGACTAATATTTTTGCAGATATTTTTTAAAAATTTCAAAAATGCTATGATCATTTTGATTCACGTATGAATTTAAAACACTCAAAAATAGTTTTCATATAATCGTCAACCACAAGAACAACGAAAAGTAATATTTTTCAACAAGTTGGGCTGTTGATCACTTTGATGCACATTTAAATTTTCAACTTTCTAAATACATAAGTAACATCGTATTCTCATTGTCATTGCCAGCCTCCCTGCAAATAGGGTAACAGTAATGATAATATTATCCGTTTCCTTATAAGGAAACATTCGGCATTCATTGACCGAGCAGCCGGTGATGCTGTCGATTGAAATTTATAAATTCTTTCCCTTAAAATTAATTTAACAAGTCCAGTAATTGTTATCGCTGGTTGCAGTATTGATGGCGGTTTCCTTCCTAACCTTTTGTTTGAGGTTTTGTGGAACTCCACTTGATTATGTAATTATTCTTTCTCCGAGTTACAGGTGCTATCCATTTTAGTTGTTGCCGCTTTTAAAGTCCTCAAGTGATGTGGTTTCTGTTATTTGGTACAGTTCTTTAGCACCAGTCCACAAGGTTCGAAGAAGGATTGTCATCACTAAGACCTACACGCTTCACTCACACGAAGCCATTTTTAAGCCTCGATCTGAGAAAGCGGTTTTATACAGCCGAAAGTTTAGATATTTCCTCGCTAAGACCTAGACGCTTCACTCACACGAAGCCATTTTAAGCCTCGATCTGAGAAAGCGGTTTTATACAGCCGAAAGTTTAGATATTTCCTCGCTAAGACCTAGACGCTTCACTCACACGAAGCCATTTTTAAGCATCGATCTGAGAAAGCGGTTTTATACAGCCGAAAGTTTAGATATTTCTGAACAAGTTTGTCGGCATGCATGGCCTTCGTATAAAAGTCTCCATCTTACGAGGCTATTTAAGAACACGACTCGAGATTTTAGGTCTTTGTAGCAGTTTGCGATGTTTGGCAAAATAAACCTATTCTATATTCAATTTCTTTATCTCATGTACTAAATTTGTTATAACTGATTCATACACCAAGCATTTGAATTTTTTAATTTTAATATGAATTTTTTTTTCCACATCCTGAATTTATGGCAGGTGCTCTCACCGCTTTCAATTCCAGATCATAGGTTTTGTTTTTGGAAAGGTTTAGATATATAGTTAAAAACAAATCGACTTTTTCACGAATGTGTGCAGTATGTCGTCTTGCTAAATAGAGAAACGCTTCAAGAAAGTAATTGTTACGAAACAAAATAATTTTAGTGAATGTAGATAATTCTTGTAGAAAAGATTTACTGACAAATAAATATTCACTAACACTTACTTGGGAATCTTGAATATGGAATCCAGAGATCTCCTCCGGGACCATTTCATACCGACAAATATTCGACAGCTATCAGGACACTGAGACCTTGCGAAATGAAAAATAAATAAATTATTCTTGTAAAAATATTTGGTGTTAAAATCATCATCAGATTCTTGATGCTCATTAAGATTAACATAAGAACACATAGCAGAAAGGAAGGCTGGATTGTGGTCCTACCTGTATTCGAACTCCTGAGTTTTACCTGAATTTGAGCATCGACTCTGGTATCGGTAAGAAAAATTTAAAGGAAATTACCATCGTCGTAAGTAGGATTCGAACGTGCAGAATCTGAACCGTAATATCTCAATCGTTGCTATCAGTTTTCCCGCCGAATTGGTTTACTTTGGATTGGCCCAAGATCATCATATTTGGGTGCCTATGAGAATCGAACCCACATCATTAGGGGGTTGAATTGATGCTGAGTTGGAATGACCAAAGTAAAAGTTGTATATATATCAAGACATGTTGAAGTCATAGATAGGTAAGCCTTGATCGAATTTAGAGTTTATAGACAAACATTGGTCATGTATATACTTGAGTCCGGAGATAAAAATTGCTTGGGTTTACACTTGAATTTTTTACTATAACTATTCACACTCAGTAGGTGACTTCTTTTGCGGATCTTACATCACTTACAAGGGATACAGTTGGCGTATTTTCGATGATAGGTCAGTTGATTCACGTGACCAACTTGCTAACAATTACACTACAGAAGGCACCCCTATTAATTACCTTGGCTTATTCTCTTACGTGGTCACAGTAGTGGAGTACACACTAGGTTAGAAATCAGTACATCGTTACATAATTAGTCGCCAAGCTGAGTTTGCTAACCATCGTACATTGATGTATGTTGTTTCCAAGGAACCAAAAATGAAAGGACTTGTTATTAATACTGGAGTCAGACAACATAAGTTAATAGATTTGGAAACAGTAAATATTGTAGAAATAGATTTGTCATCAATATCAAATGAAAGAATAACATTCGTACTAAAGACATGACTGGAATTTCCATGTATCATTTCGTAAGCAAAACAAAACAACAAAAATGTGAAAAGGTTGTACTGCAATTTTCTGAACTGACATATTCCTAGAAACAGAAAAAAATAATTTGTTTAACCAATGATATTCTGAAAGTCGTATTTTGCTAAAAAACAACAGAGAGGTTATGAAGAATTAAAAATAATGTTATTTCAGTGAATCAATATTTGTATTCGTCTTATTCGTAATTCACAAAAGAAAATTTGATATTTGATTGTGTGTAAAAAGAAAGAATGAATTTAAGAATTAACAGTTTGCAACTATGTCTCGTCATATTTATTTTAGGACTGCGTCGTTATTGCTAGTCCCGTTTACTATGAATAATATACTACCGGGCCCAGGGATTGAACGTACAATTACTATGTGTAACTTTAATGCTTCGTGGGACAGCTCAAACCCCATGCGCCAGACTCATACACAGAGAAAACAGCAGGAATAACAGTAAATAAGTAGTACTAAAAGAAAGCAAAAAAAAAAAAAAAAAAGATAAATAAAAGACCTCCTTAGACATGGAGAACGGAATGAGAACAATCTACACCCCGTAGATTAAATAAATAATTAATTTCGAATTTTCATAAAAAGTTACACAAATTTTGCTGGAAGATGAAATAAAAACTAATAAATAAAATAATAATAAAGAATTAAAAAAATAAATAAATTTTCCCATAATGCTCGTAATAAAGGAACCGGGAAGAGTTTTGGCTATCTGCACAATTTTAGAACTTCCAATTCCGAAAAAGTTAGAACCGGGTTATTTTTTCCACTTTCCAACGCATAGCGCTCGGATTTGCTTTACACAACCTCCACCCATGAAGTAAGTATAATTTTTACTTTGGTCGTTTCAACTCAGCACAAAGCTGGCTCGAGAGCGACCATTATAACCATTCTTATCATTGCTTACCCTAACTTACTTCTGGACCAGAAGAAGAAAACGGACATGCCTAAGAGATATTGAGAATAAGAATAAACGGCCTGTAAGTTTTTGGTGCTTCTTTATGTGAAAATGCACACACACCTAAAATACACCAACAGGTAACCTTAATCTAAAGACATCTGTAGAAGACTAGAGAGCAAGATAGCCGAAACGTTGTGACAATAACAACAAAAATTCACAGTCCGAATGTAAATAATGCAAATACTTTTGCAAACTGTTATTTGTAAGTTGTTCATTTCTAAATTCGTTCTTTCTTCCGTTTACAGTTAACTATCAAATATCCTTTCTTGAATTATGAATAAATTTTGAAATATTTATCATAAAATAAACTTTCTTTTCATTGTAATATTGAAATTACCTTGACTTATATATAATCTGTGTTGTGGGCGACCTAACAAGTCACGTGTGATCATTTCCGACCTAAAATTAACTTTTTTTATGAATAATAATGATGAGAACTTCAGAAATTCAGACAGAAAGTTTGCGAAAGATTTTAGCTTTTTATTACAGGATATGAATATATTTATCAAACATAAATAGAAAACATTGATAAAATTAAAATAATAATGGCAACATTGTGTAGAAGATAAAGTATGATCGAATTCTATGAACAGTAGTCATAGAAATGTTAAAAAACGTAACGTCGTAATTTTGCAGGATTTTTTTCATAGTAATTCAAAGATTTCGTGACCATTTTAAAATACATCATTTTTTTTACAGATTTTGAGAACTGTAGAACCACTTCTAAATTGCTGGTATTCCTAGGTCCACCCTAACCCGGGGTGGTAACACCTGTTAGGGTCCCAGCTATGGGCAAATAGTTAACCATCAAACTTGGGTCAAAACACTATGAACGTGTAAAAATAGATTTTAATACCAATAAAACATTTTTGAAGAAAAAAAATATTACCACTAATACATTATTTCCAGCAAAACATTTTTGGGAAAAAAAAAATATTACCAGCAATATATTTTATGGAAAAGAAAGAAATATTACTAGCAAAAATCTTGTCGGCATTAAATAACCGATTGAGGTTGATATACCTTAAAACCAACCAAAATCCAAAAGCAATCTTTTCAAGGATGAAAAAAATATTTAAAGCAACAGAGATCTGGTTGTATTAATGGATGCTGAGAATACAAAGGATCGAATTTGTGTGTAACAAAAATGTCTAAAGAAAAATAGGAATTAAAAGGACACTTATACTTAGAACCAGAAAGGGACAATTGAAATTTCTAGGAAACATAATGAGAAAAGAAGCCTTGGCGAATTTAATACTCACATGACATATTGAAGGCAAGAGAGATATGGAGAAACAGTCGTTAACCTACTTAATCTTACTTAGAGCAACAAAAACAGGAAGTTGTAGAGAGCTATCATCGTCAACACCGTAAAGGGACACGGCACATAAAAAAAAGAAGATTCTCATTTGGAATTCTTATGCGCCATTTTTGCTTTGTTAAATTACAGACATCGTCTTAGTGGAATCAAGATTACACAGACTATTCCAAAATTTCATTAAACGCTTCAGGCTAAATCCTAACGCCCAGGATTTTATGTTTCTTGACAAAACCCAGTCCAAACAAGACACAGATGAGAGTTCGTTCCCTGCATCAAATAGTAAGAAGCGCCTGCTTATGTAGACTGATGCCGGATTGTTAGAGGCACTCGTACAGCAGTTGACCTTTTAACGGATCAAATTGCTTTTGTGATTCTCTTTAGAATAATTAAGAAATAAAATGCACTTTAAAAAAAAAAAAAAAACTTACATCATGCAAAGATATGAGCAAACTCGCACCGTGTCTCCCGGGTGATGTCCTTTTCTCTCGACTTCGATTGTCATTGCGCCAAGAAAAGAAAGCGTCAGTAAAAGAAGAACTACAAATGGCGGCTCCATCGTTTCTGCAAAAGAAAACAATTTTCAATGGTTTCATTCAGTGGAAAAATTACGCAGTTAGTGCAAAAAGAAAAAAACAGAGGAATTTTAATTACAATCAGTTTTGAGAAAAAAAAACTCACTATATAATAGATGTCATTCTAAATAAAAAAACGTTATAAAATTTCAGTCAGTTTTAAGAAAAAGACGTTATAAAATTGCAGTTAGTCCACAAAAAAGTATGGTATAAAAAAATATCAAGCAATCACCAACTCTTTCTATCCCTCAATTTTATACTTTTTTTTTTACATCCCATTCATAGTGCATGAAATAAATAATTGTCAAGTTTTTCAACGAAGTAACTATAAAAAATATTTATTTCGACCTGCCACAAGACTGAAAGCATTTTTGTGTTTTACGGTGGCAAACTAGAATTTAGTCAATTTATTGCCTCACATCTGATCACTGGACATCTATGGAGCTTATTGTAACGTGGAGGTGCAAATTTCATCAATCAAGTAAAAGAATTCATTTAAGATTGCAAACATATCACTTCTACCCAAGCATTAAACATTCGACATTCAAACAGTTTAATTCTAAAGTCAGTCTTCTTAAAAATTTCTATTGAACTGAATCTCACTTTAATTTCTTAACAATTCTGCACTCAATAACTGAGCAATACCAGCAAGTGTGTCAATGAAATAGGATATATTTAGTTACATATATATGCATATTTCTAAGCATAAAACAAATACTGATCAATATCCTTTAGACTTCAAACCATACACAGGCATATTTTATCGATCTTTTTTTTCACAAAATTGTATACGACAAAATCCAAACCATTTTATATACGTGGCATCTCAAAAAGTCTGCGGTGAGTTTTATCTGAAATTGTTTCAAGGGAGGTGATATATTTTTATTATTCTACGAATTATACGGACCAATATTCTAATTTTTTTTTTTTTTTTTGTATTAATCACGGTGTTTCGGTCAGCGAGTTTCCCGTCTTCCCTCGTGTGATCTGAGGTTGATATGACAACATTATTTTCTAAGTTTAGCATAACAAAAGCTTACAAATATGGCGTACTCGATGGAAATCGAACTCTCTATAGTAATGATTGGATACGAGATTAACTTTTTTAAGTTAAGAACAAATTAGAAAAAAAACTTCTTGAAAGTAGAGAAAATTAATTTCTTAATGTATATTTGCACTCTCTATTTTCTTGTTTTTTTTACAGTGATATTCACTCTACACAAAGACCGGGAGCCACTCGATGTAGAGCTTTACAGAGCAATAGGCTCAGTTCATGCGTATATGTGGGGAAGATAACGGTTAACCCTAGACTTGCACAGGTTAAGATTGTAGTGATCGAGGAAGCATCCTCTTGGGAGTCGGTTCCACAGAACAATCGGTTCGCAAGAACAAACTGTTCGAGTGAAATTTACTTCTTACTAATAGAATACGAGGTGGGGGTAGATAAGGCTGGTTCGTCACAATCCGCGTAACATAGCGGGTCCTAGCCATGAAGGTTAGAGCTGGTGGAACTAGGAAACGTAGCTCGTCTGAGCACTTTCCATGGAAGTAGAGATAGAGCAGTGACAGGCTTGAGGCATTTCGTCTGTGACTTGTTAACCATTACCCCATTATGAAGGCTTGTTATTGCTATACAATTTATTCGGATGAATTTATAGTTTTGTTGTTTTTATTACAACTTTTTGGCCAGAACATTATCTTCAAAATCAGAATAAAGCGATAACATTTCTGAGAATAAGCTCGATTCTCTTTAAGGATTGGTATTTATAGCTAAGGTAATGTGAATTGGAATCACTCGGTCTGTGATTTCGAACTTCCGATCATTAATCACGACACCTGAAAATACATTTTTTGGAAACGATTGTCAATGATAGGAGCAGTCACTTCGTGTCCAACCCTTCGAAAAAGAGAAGCCATTGTATTCTACCCTTGAACAAAATCAAGAGGAACTCTCTCTAAGAGGGAGAGGGAAAAGAGAAAATATAGACAGGTTCTCTACAACTTACCTGCATCCTTGGGTTGCTTAATTCTAGCGTAAGAATGAAATGTTTGCTTAAATATTTTATGTTTATTGAAAATAACTCGAAAAGAAAGACGTCTCACTGTAGGTAAACTAGTAAAGTTGGAAGAACTCTTGAATATAGTGTAAAATAACGTCTTTACCAAAGTTTTTTACGCCTCAACTTGATCTTACACGTTGTAAACATTATCAACTCGGTTTGTTTTCCTTCATTTGAATTCTTAAGCGTTTCTAGTTTCTTTGCACGGTTTTACTCAAATTGAAAGAGTGACAAAGACTGGCAACTGCTAGTCGAAATATTTCCATGAAATAAATCATTTGTTGGAACTACAAGTTTTTTTTTAATTATGCAATTACCAACTGAGACAACCATCCTAACTTTCTTACCAAAGTTTTGTTTAATTTAACGTTTTTCTTAGATAGATAGATAGATAGATAGATAGATAGATAGATAGATAGGGATAGACAGATAGATAGGAATATACTGAAATAGATAGACAGTTACAGAATGAGATAGATAGATAGATAGATAGATAGGAATATAAGCAAATAGATAGATAGACAGTTACAGAATGAGATAGATAGATATATAGTAACAGAATGAGATTGATAGTAACAGAATGAGATAGATAGATAGATAGATAGATAGATAGATAGATAGATAGATAGATAGATAGATAGATAGATAGATAGATAGGCCAACAGGCAGATATGTTATGTTGACTCCATTAACGGAATTACGCAAGATTTCGTTTAATTTGAATTCTAAAAAAACAAAAACACCAAAAGTCCATTCAGGACATAGTCGAACATGAATCTCGTTATATTCCTGTTATCTGCGAATTGGCAAGCATTCTTGAGAAAGCCAGTTTCTCTTTGCTTTTCTCTACGGTTCGGTGATTTCCTTCACTTAAACTGATTGCCGCCCAAGGTTAGAAAGCTCAGTCTACCTTGCTATTTAACAGCTTGGAGAAGAAGAGACGGATTCATGTCTTTCCTAAAGACAAATGTGCAAAAGGGAACATTGGAGTCGAGGTTGGAATTTGAACTTAGAACGCCGATTCCACTTTCAGCGCCGATATCCGCTAAACTACCGCACATTTCAAATTTAACTACAATTTATAAGCGAGTTGCGTTACATATCATGTAATTTGGTATTTGTCATAGAGAAATGGTTAGGCAACAAGTGAAGCCAACCATTCTTTGGCGTAGTGAGTTTAATCTTCACTAGGCACCCCAGTAAGGTAGGCGTATATCAAAATGTAAAAAAACCTTTACTTTTTGACATTAACTATACAACAATAAAAATAAATTACATCAAAGATTCTTATTGTTTTGAGCGATGCGAATCTAAGAAGATACAGGTGTTTGATAAATTATTCTAATATATAAAGTATTAATTTTCAACGTTTGGATGTTTGTCTCCGTTCGTAGTTGCATAATTAAAAGAAAGAAAAAAACTTGTAATTCCAACGAATGATTGATTTTTTTATGGAAATATTGATATTTATTGTATATAAAAATACAATTATGGCACAAGGCCGAAAAAGGGGAGGGGCTGAGGCTGGTCTTCACTAACTATCTTATACCTCAGCTAATCCGATTCACGACCCATTCACTCATTACAATTTGCGCATTCACCACAAAAACTCGTCCGTCACCAATCAATCCTCCAGACACCATAATACCGCATCCTCTCAGGGGGATTTACAAAATGCACCCCGTGATTTAAAAATTTAATGATAATATATATTACGTAGATAAAAATCTAATATTTGACAATGAGAGCGGGGATGAGACCTAAAACAAGCTAAATATCAAAACAAGGCAAAATAAATATAACTGATGTTAGTAGGACCCGTCCAACCCTCAAAAAGGAGAGGCCGCTGTATTCTGCCCATTGAACAAAATCAAGAGGCTCTCTCGCTAAGGGAGAGAGAAAAGAGAAAATAGGGATGCAATAAACTCACTCTTTAATTTGAGTAAAAACAGTGCAACGAAGTTCGAAACGCATAAGAATCTAAATCAAGGAAAACAAACCGAGTTGATGGCGTTTACAACGTAATAGCAAGTCTAGGCATAAAAAAGATTCTTTTTTTCCCCTCCATATCATATTTTGCTTTGGAGCAGAGATGTTCAGACAAGATGAAGTTGTACTGCATCTATCTTATTGCAGGCATTTTTTGTAGTTGCTATTACCATTCGTTCAGCTACTCTTCTTTGATTGAAATGATTTTGGTTCGTTAATTTCCGGATGGTCGAAGTCAATTCTGTGACCTTCTGTAATGGCATGTAATGCAATCGCTGAAATTTTTTCCAACTTTTGTTTTTCGTTATCATTTAAAATTACCTTATCACAAAATCTTCGATGTTCTTCTTTGTATTGTTTTACTCAAATTAATGAGTGACCAATACTGGCAACTGCTAGCCGAAATATTTCCATAAAAAAATAAATAATTCCAAGGATTAATTTTACCTGTATGAAGATGTCGATAGTATACAATAACAGCTCGTCAATGAAAAAACTAAATTTATAATAAAAAATAACATTTTCAGAGATTTAGTTTTTAAAAGTAAACCCGATAAAAGATGAGTGATAAGTTTCAATGAATTCTTTTTCTAAGAATATTTAAATCACTAAAGATGTTCTTATTAAAATACAATATGAATTCAGACTGTCAAAGTTATTTTCAATATCGTAAAAAGCCTGGTATTGAATTTAAACTTATAAAAATGAATCATTCAAAATTCGAATTGCTTACGTACCTGTATCACAGATATTTCCGTTCTTAAAGACGATGGCACATGGGAAGAATTTAAAATTTCATAAAAGTCAACAATTTTACCAAAGTAGAACATTTTTCAAAAAAGAAAAAACTTAATTTCGAAATACAATCTTCAATCTCTGATTTTAGCCAGAATGAATACAACATGGACACTTTTCTGGGAAACGAAACAGATACATTCATTTCTAAACGTTTTTCTTTAAACGGAAGCAAGACAGATGACTGAACCTTAAAAGCCGTAACTCATTTTTCGAAAAAGACTTTTTTTTCAGTAGTTTTGAAAGATCAAATACTTTTTAAGTAGATGTGTTGGACGTAAACGTGGCGGGTCTATTGGGAGGACGTTCTTGGTCATGGCCGCTTCTGGCGAGGCTGAGAGGGCAACTAATAGCACAGCAACGAACGACAGGCGACAATGTGTTGCGAGAAAGACCAGTCGTTCCAGTAGGTCAAGAGTTAAAGATTTACGTTCGATTGACAATTCACTCGGTGTCGCTGATAAATCGTAGATTCGAAAAGACAGTCTTGAATTACGCGCCTTCATTGCAGAAAAAAAGATCAGATATAAATAAAATAAACGTTTGTCATTAAATTTTCTACGCAAATTGAAGTCAATATTAAGAACGCATCTGTCATGTTTACTTGATAGCTGTGACTAAGGTAGATACGCGTTCCCTCTCGAGCTTGGAGTCGATGTTCGAACCCAAGTAAAAACCAAATTTTCATGTATAGATTTTTAAGACAAACATGACTTCTTAACTTTAAAAATAATGACTTAACAATCTTTCTAATGTCTAACAGTCAGTACAGCTGACTACTTGCAAAATTTCCTTCATGTTGTAGAAAAATCTATTTTTGCTTCATTCTTATACTAGGAATCAATCCGTTCCTGTCTATCTGTTGGCCTTTCTGTCTGTCTGTTGGCCTATCAATCTGTCTGTTGGCCTGCCTGCCTGCCTGCCTGCCTGCCTATCTATCTATCTATCTATCTATCTATCTATCTCAGTCTGTTCCTATCAATCCATCCCAGTCTATCTATCTATCTATCTATCTATCTATCTATCTATCTATCTATCTATCTATCTATCTATCTATCTATCTATCTCAGTCTGTTCCTATCTATCTATCTATCTATCTATCTATCTATCTATCTATCTATCTATCTATCTATCTATCTCATTCTGTTACCATCTATCTCATTCTGTTTCTATCTACCTACCTAGCTAGCTAGCTATGTGTAATAGTAGGCTATAGAAGAGTATCTGAACAAATGTGGGGATAATAACAGAAAGTGGAAAGGCTATTCAGACTACGCGTTTCGCTCGTTAGAGTAGACGTCTTCAGGAATGAGACACAGATCGTGTGTGAGTGAAGAGTTTTGGAATATGAGAAAGAGGTGATAAAGCTCTTCATCAAATGTTGAGGTCAGGTCTCTCAGTCTAACCTGATAGATATAAACAGACCGCGGTAAATATATCGATGAAGCTCGACTATTCAAGAATCTTATACTTGATAAAAATCACTGAATAAAATTGCCAGTCAGTGTTCATGAAATGTGCTTGTCATTATTAACAAGAAGGGCACAAATTCAAGAGAGCACTCTTTCGCGAAAATATTCAAGGAATCAATACTGACGATAACTTTGACCTTATTGCGGGGAAGCTCATCTTCAGAGCACAATTATGATGAGGCCGGTAGTTTATTCTAATATAATTTGCAACTACAGATCCTATCATCCGGTTCACTACCTCCCGGGTCTTTTGAACAGGGGTGGAGGTTTATGCCTTGTTTCCTGTTTAAGATCGGGTTTCCGGTTCCTTCTAAAGCCTACTTCCACACTATGAGTTTTAACTCTTCCGACTGTTATTCACTAATTAAATCTTGGCTTCTTCAAGTCTACAGTTAGCCATTATCTTTCCTGCATAGCCCCAAGAACTTCTTGTCTTTTCTTACGTTCATACAACATCACACTATAACCCTCTACATTGAGTGGCTCTTGGTCCTTTTATTAAGTGAATATTAATAAAAAAAAAACATAATAATTTTTAAAAGCAGAAAGTGTTAATGAAACTTGGGAATTGATGATGCCAAACGTCAGACAAGTGGTTGGGAATTGAATGACAAAATGAAAAACATCCTATGTGATTCGTTTCGACCTTCAGAAGGTCATCTTCAGGCTAAGTACTTTTTTTTAATGACAGGATAGGCAGTAGGAGGAAACGAAATGCAAACAAACGTGATTATAGTTATACATCTAGAGAAACGCTGACATTTATAGCGCCCGATGATTTCAAATTTAAATTCAAAGATAAGCCTCCTTGCATTTTCAGCGTTTCTCTCGATGCATAATTATAAGCAACGTTTGTTATTGCGTTCCTTCCCCAATACATATATATTCATTTAAACCCCCCACACACACACACACACGCGCGCGCGCACGCACACACACACACACACACTCATATATATATATACATATAGTTTTGAGTTATGTTTACTTCACATCTATGTAGGTGCCTGGGACACCTATATAGATGTGAAAGATATGAAATTTTACCTCTATCTCAAGTGTTTCTATTAAGGATAAAGCATGTGTAAATTGAGCTCACTCTCTCTCTCTCTCTCTCTCTCTCTCTCTCTCACACACACACACACACACACACACACACACATATATATATATATATATATTATAATGATTTTTTAAAAATATGATTCCATCGCTACATAGGAATTCTCATGTTTCAAAAACCGAAGCTAAAAATTTCCAATTCAATTATAGAAATTAAATTAAATTAAATTAAAGTACTTAGTTCTGTTTCATCCTCAAGCGAATTTTGGAATATCTAATTTTGCAATTTACGGACCTTTATAAGCATATACATTCGTAATATTAATTTCTATGGATATGGAGAAAAACAACCATTTTAATAAGGGGCGGTAGGGTATATATATATATATATATATATATATATATATATATATATATATAATTGTGTGTTTGGGCAGCAATCCCTCTTTTATACAAGTTTCGTTAAAAAAAAAATTACATAAAAATATAAAAGTGGACATTGACGATAACACCCATCGCGAACAATATGATTTATGCTTAAATGCAATCGTCAGGCCATGTGCATTGTGTTTTTACTCGACTATATATACTGGTGAGTGATGCTTTATGGGTAAACCTATTGTATTATTCTAACAGTTATTTGGGTGGACGTTGACGGTTTTGTTTCAAATTATTTTAGGGGCTCTTGAGTGTAAATGATTATAGATCTGGGTGAAGTTTTGTGGCTATTTCGTAGTGTTGTTTGTTAAGTTTTATTAACTATTCTTATTTTAATGTTGGTTGTTGTTATTACATTTACTTGTGTTTATGTGTGTATGTTTATGGTTTGTTAATTTGTTCTTTTTTTTATCTATTTACTTTATTTATTTATTGGTTTAGATTCATTTATTTTATTTTTATTTATTTATTTTATTTAAATTTATAAGTTCTGATTGTTTGTGTTGTCTTGGAAGGTAATTATAGCTAATCTTTATCATATGTGTGTTCGTGTGTATGTGTGTGTGTGTATTATTATATTACCTGACATTGCAGTTAAACTAAACAGGGTCGAACATACGATAGAATTCACTTACGAAACAGAAACAAATAGCACTTTACCGTTCTTAGATATCATGTTACACTATACTGACAATGGCGTAAAACAAAGTGTCCATCGCAAATAGAAATGATCTCATAAGTTTCTATTCTCAACATAAGAACAAAATAAAACCTAGAATAATTATCGGATTCAATATAAGAGCATTCAGAATTTGTAACCCTCAATATTTCAAGAAAATGAAAAATACATTGAAAATACGCTAAATATTTCATATTCAACGCGAACAAAAGGCTCATAAAATATTTCGAAATAGAAGAGTGGACCGTTCTAACAAATGCAACGAATCAAAATATATTATTCTACCCACTAACTCTATCACAACTAGAATTGAAAAGAATTTATCTAAGCATAAATTAAGATTTGTTAGAATTACTAAAACAATAAAAAACTTAATACAAAACAGCATAAGCTAAAATCTGAAGAAGGAATTTACTCTATCACCTGTAATAATTGCCACAAGAAATACATAAGAGAAACCGCAATGAATTTAATATAAGACTATAGGAATACAAAAGGGATCTTTTATAAAATAATACACTCAGCGTAATGAGTTTGACCACAATTTTGATTTAAAAATGCTACTTTAATTAAAAGCAATTTACTAATACGAAAGTATATAGAAAGTGTTTTAATAGTTAGATCATCCACAGTAAATTAGCGTCCAGGTACCCTTCTTGGTAGATCTGTTATCACAATGTGAGATATTAAATAAGAAAATTGCTAAAAGCATAAAAAGAAACTAAATGAAACAGGCGAGGGGATATACCCAAACACATATTAAAAAGAAATTCATCTAAAAAATTTTAAAAGCAGTGTCCGCTCTCCTTCGTGCGCATGCGTAGTCAAAGCAACCAAACCTTTAGTCCGATGGCGTCTTCTATTTATTCCATATGAAAATACAAAATTGTGGCACAAGGCCGAAGGGGACAAAAGACTGGGCCTGGTCTTCTTTAGCTGTCCTAGTCCTAGTTAATCCAACTCGCGACCCATTCATTCATTATAATTTACACATTTACCACAAGAATTTATCCATACTCGCAGGGGAACCTACAAAACACCTCATGATATAAAAATTAAAAATTTAAAAGTCCGATGACGTCTCAAAAGACAACAAACGTTACGCAAAGCGTTTTTCACGTTGTCTTGATTTTCCTAATATACAGAACAGGAAGCGTGATAGGTATTATCTATATAGGCTATATATACCAATCTTTGTCAGTATGTGAAGAAATCTTTTAAACCAATAATTAAATCTATTTTATAATTAAGAAAATATAATAATTATATAATATTAATATAATTTATGAATCATTTGTGAAAATCTATGCTGATGATACAACAGTATATGGTTGCACCTCGAAAAATCTAGATGAACAGAGTTTGGCTCTAACATCTCAGTGGGGGGGGGGACTATTGGTCACATTCGATATGTCGAAAAACAAAGTTTCACCAGTTCTAACTTTCACGGCTAAGACCTGCCATGCTACGGACATTGTAGTGGACCATCCTCATTCCCCTTGTGTTCCATTGATGAGATGTAAGTTTCTTTCGGGCAGTTTCTTATCACGAATCAGTGCTCTGTGGAACCGACTCCCAAGAAGATACTCCTTTAATCACTACAATTTTAACCTATTCAAGTCTAAGGTTAACCATTATCTTTCCCATATATACGCATAAATGTGACTCTTAATCTGTAACCGACTACATCGAATGGTTCCCGGGCCTCGTACTGGATAAACATCACTGTAAAAAAAAAAATAGGGGGTCCAAATATATATTAAGAAATTTATTTTTTTCTTCTTTCAGGAAGTTCTTTTTCTAATTTGTTCTTTTCTGTCTAAGATCGATCTACCAGATCTACGGAGTGGGAAGG